GAGGCAGAAGCACGGGCAGGGGTAGGGGCAGGGGCTGGGGCTGCGGCAAACAAACAACGCGTTCGCCCACTTTGCGTGTGTTCTCAGCGCCAGCGCTGACCTCTGGGGGGTTCAGGTTCAAGTTTAGGTACAACACCAGCAGGGAAATACGTACAGAGATTGAGTCTGTCTAAGCCATGTCGAAGCACAGCTCGGCCTTTGCCTGAAATGAAAATGAAGGTGTAGTCCAATTTGTAAGTATGGCCAAGCCCCGGGCGCACAGCAGCAGCAGCAGCAGCCGACGTCCAAGTTATGCAAAGCTTGGAGCAGAGAGTGGCAGTCTGAGCCAGAGCCAGAACCTCAGAGCCTCTGCTCCCGCTGGAGTTGAGCTAGAGCAACGTTTGGGCTGCATTTTTCCATGCGTGCCGCCTTTTGCTTTGTTGGTGGCGCTCGCAGCGGCGGCGACGGCGGCTCTGCTGCTGCGTCGTCCATTTGCCGACTTGGCAAATACTTAATTGCATTTCGATATCTATGCTCAGGCATCTGTGAGTAGATGCCGCACTAGGCTCAATACCTCAGACAGGGACAGCGGCATTTGGACACGCAGACAGCCAAGCAGCGAGCTGGTCGTCTCGGCAAAGATGCGAGGCGGCTGCTCCGTTTGCTGTTGCCTGTTACCTGTTGCTTGTTGCCAGTTGCTCTTTTTACTGACCAACTGCAGAGTTAGTCCACATTTTCGATTTTTACAACTAAATTCCGTTGATTCAGGCGCTTTACAAAAGAAATTAGTAATTGCTACGCCCATTTAGAGCCACATTGCATATCTACGCGCGCATCTGAGACGACAACGATGACAAGAGATTTCTACGCTGGCGCACTATTCTAATGCTGTGCACATACAGCCCAGCGCCCACACACATACACACACACACACACGCACATACATACCAATGCCAGCTCAACTGAGTTCGTCTCATATCCGCTCGCATATTGTTTGTCATCGTTTTGTTTGCTGCCGCTGATGGCCGGCCGTCAATCTTGCCGTCAGTCGCAGTAGCCCAACTCACAACGACATACACCTCCCTTGATCGCATTGTGCCTGAGCACGCTGTCATTTTCACGCTTTGTTAGCTCACCAAACTGTATATTGAAGTCCGGCGTCTACTAGGAAGCGCCGAGTTTTTTTTTTTTTTTGTATTTATGACTACATATTTAGTTTATGTTTATTATGTATGTTAGAAGGTTAATCTCTGCGGCATTACATTGCAACTTTTTGCGCCTTTGTGGCAATTTCATTGCCTTGTATAATATGTACACTGGATAACAGTAGAATATGGCAGCAGGAGAAAAGATTTGCAGGCAATGTGAAAGAAATGTGAAACTGTATCTATGCAAGCGACCTGGAGTGTACGTTGGCAACATCAAATTTTCTTTTAGATGCGGTAATTGTAGTCGGTATTTTGATGAGAAATGTAAATCAATTTCCTATTTAATGGCAACTGCCATGATTAATGTGGCTTTTAACTATGAGCTGCTCCCAGCGGGCAGTTTGGACTACACAAATTTCACTTTTCGAATTCATAATACAATAATTAACCCAGAGAGCATCTATGCTCATCTAAATGAGCAAAAAAACAACACAGAAACAACAGTTATGTTTGGAATGTCGAAGCTTAAATACACTTGAAGACATGGGTCTTAAAAAACGTCACTTCCGACCAATTGTTCAATTATATAGAAGACCGATTTTATATGGTTTTACAGATATGTTAGGCTCATAATTGCCAAGAGAAACATAAAAGTTTTTTTATTTAAAAACTCAATTTTTGAGATGGGTCTGATATTAAATTGCATTCATGTAAGATGCACAGTTTGGTCAACATATCTTGAGGAACAAACAACTTTTCCAATAACAACTTAATTTGTAAACAATCATCATATAGCGCTATGATCCAACCGACTATATATGTATATATATACTATCGATTATATATGTATACTGTCTACAAATTAGAGACGGGCCTTTGAAAAGTTGCATTAAGATAGCTTTTTAAACTAAGAGACTATAATTTAAATAGCCTTTGCAAGAGTATTAAAAAACGACTGCTTTCGACTGCTGTGTCATTTTTCCATGTCACAGTCGCCGGCTGTGCGACTTTTAACCTGTGCAGAAATCAATTAGGCACCATATCGAAAAGATACACACACACACACACACATGCAAAGACAAGCGATTTAGGTTTGCCAAAAAGCGATCGATCATCAGTGCCAAACAATCGCTGTAAAGTTGAAACTTGAAATATGAACGTCATAAAGCGATTGCTGAGTTGGCCCTTGATTGTTGGTTCAGTGAGTTTCAAAATGTATTTTATTTATCAATTAAATGAATCGAAAATTGTGCGCAATTACTGAGCAAATAGTTGTGAGCCAAGTTTGTTGCCCAAGTCTTTCTAGTTATGCGCCAAGTTTGTTGCCTAAGTCTTTCTAGTTATGAGCCACGTTCGTTGCCTGAGTTTTCTTTCGCCGCGGCAATTCTCACTGAGAGGCCGCACGAAATCGGCGACTCTCTGCCTGCCCCTTGGCTGGTGTCAGTTTCATTTTCGGTTGCATCTCCGAGTCAGTCCACATTTCCGGCAGCTTCGATGCAGCGCCACGTTGACGGTGGCAAAGGTCACAGCAGCGAAAACGAATCGGCACTTGGCACTTGGGCCCATGCAATCGGGCTGCATGCTGCATGCAACGTTCAGTGGGAAAAAGGGCGACTGGCATGCGATGCCTTCTTTGGGTCTGTGGTACAAGTCATAATCAATGTTGCATGCGACTCTGGGCCATCTTCCGTCTTGCATAAGCCACAAGAGTTTCACTTTTTTTGTTGTTGTTGTTTTTTTTCTTTCAGCCAAATCTGTCGCTGCCGGGTAATTAAAGCCAATGGGCTAGCGGTAGCTGATAGTTGAGCTTTAATTTATGCAAATTTGTGCTGAAATCTCAGTCTAATTATTAGCTGCCAGGCAATGCGATATTTGTATTTACTTTGATTGATAGAGACGCAAAGTCTGTTCGAAAATATTTATTTACATATAGGTATGCACGTGAGTATCTCGTAAAATAATATTATTGGGAGCAGCGTCTTCAGCTGATCGAGGGGTTCATTGATATGCGGTTCAAAGCATATCATCAAATGTTGTTGACCGCAAAGTTACGCGGCATACAAAGCAGGTTGCGGCAGGGGAGAGGGGGGGGGGGGGGGGTATCATTTGGGTGACTCAATTTCAACATTATATTTATTGCTTGATACTCTTTTGGGGGCCCATTGAGTAATGCGCATAATGGCAGCCCGTCCCTAAATGGTGGCCCAATTTCATTATGAAAGCGTTACCAATTGTTTTTTATGAGTCCTCTTTGACAATTGGCAAACCAGGCAATTCGCTTGATAAGACGCCCATTTTAGTTAATGGCAAATGAACTGGGAACAAGCTAACAATACATGGCCGTAATCGGTCCAGTTTCCATTTGTCTCATTTGTATGCATGAATCTCTTTTTGAGTGCAGTCAATGTCACCATCAAATTAAACAACCAAACCTGACGACTCCGGTTGCCCAATGACATCACATCGGATCGGCCCACGCTGACCACGACAATTAATAACCTCTAGCAGACGCTAGGCAAGAGAAATTTGCTGGAATCCAGAAAGTCGCAGCCAGACGCAATTCTTGGAAATTCGTAATTGGCTCGAGATGAAAGCTAAGCAGGCCCAGCGGCCAATATAGCAGTCAATACATCAATTTAATGACTTCATTGAAAGCATTTTCGGCTAACCTCATGCACGCCCCAAATATTAATATCGGTTCGATCCATTCGGCGGCCCAGCGACAGAGATTGGCTCTGGGCTTAAGTAAATAAAAACGTACGCAAACGTACGTTTGTTTTAACCGATTAACTGGCTAAACAGTAGAAACTGGAAATCTTTATTTATCACAGTAGTTACCTTATATAGCATAAGTGAGAGGGACCAATTCTGATTGGCATCGAGCTCATTTTCAAATGTCTCATTTTAAATGAAAAATTCGCTGTGTTCAAGACTTCCCTACTTAACTTTATAGGGTAGATCACTGCAGAGCTTTGGTCAAATAAATCTGCAAGCATCGTTCCCAGGGCGTCGTATTGCAGCCCAAGTCTGCAGCTGCCAATGCCAACGGCGACACTTGACACCCAAAGCTCCAACGGGCCAACACAAGCTCAGCTGTGAAGCTGAAGTGATCGATATAATTTGTCGGCCTAATTGGTGCTTTTATGAAGCATATTTACTTCCGCACATGCTTTGTGCAGTGTCAAATGCTGTTTACCGCTCAAGTGACCGATCAACTTCCGCTCGCAATGAGCGATCTCAGTGCCAGCCTGCTGTGGCTTACAAATCGAACGCGATCAGGTTAACCAATTTGTTAAATAGCAGCCGTACCCTGCCCACCGCGACCCCATTAAATCAACAGCTAGTCAGCGCTTGTTTTCAGGCCGCCTCAACAATCACGCACACACACGCACACACACGCACACACACACATCGCGATTACGCCATTTGGAAGACATTGTGTGCTTAAGTCGTGTCTCAGACATTTCGAATTTGGTTTTGATTTTGTACCCTGTACACATTGGAAGTGGGCTTAGGCGTTGTAGTGGTATGAAGGTTCTCGTAAAGTATACACATATTGAGTATATTTATTTTTTCGATTCCTCACAAACAAAGCGTTTCAAGACCTTGCTTTTAGGCAGACAAATGTTGAACCCGCTGTAGGGTATCTTTCGGACTGGCAACCTCGGTTGGACCACACTTGTTTTGATTTTGATTTGTGTGGCCCGTGGGCAATTAAAGGTGCACGATGCGAAAGTGAATGTTGCCGCTTTGTTGACCCGATGCGCAGCCCCTTCGTTTTGATTAGGTAAGGTCACTCGGGACGACGCGCATTCATTAGCAGCTTTTTTAAGTTTGGCAAACAGTCGCTATACAAAAGCCACTAAAAGCCAGTCAGCAATGCCAATTTGTTTATATTTGTCTTTTAGATAGGTGGGTATTCACAATTGCAAGTGAAGACTACATTTTTATTTCGAACAGTGTTAATCACCCTGCGGCACACTTGTGATGTTTGTGTTTGACCAAAATGTATTTTGTAGGTGCTAAACGGCGTACAGCGAATCGGACAATGAGTCAAAAGGGAAGCATCCAGAGTTGGGGGCTAAGCAAAAATAAAATACAAAATTTTGCTGACTCCGATGCCTTTGCATTAAAACAAATCATCCTTGACGCATGCACACCAAAAACGGCAGCCTGATAAATGAATAACAACAACAACAACGGCAACAAAAATTAAATGAGAAAAAAACAGCTCCCAAAAAACGAAACAAGCCGTAGGACTGCGTACAAGGCAAGGCTGTACACCATTTTTGGCCTCATCAACGAACAAAAAAAAAGCTGCCGCTTTTTGAGAATTTTCAATTTGTAGTGTGTGCGTGCGTGAGTGTGTGTGTGCATGCACAACTCCCCTTAGTCCGCTGCTGCTGCTGCTGCACAGGTTCCTTTGACGTTTATTTCCAGACACAAAAGACGACGGCCCCAAAAAGTCGTCGCAACTTTCGAAAGTTTTAATGAGCGCAAAATGTGTGCGTCGATTTAATTTGGCGAAGCGTTTGAAAACAGGAACAGACCCAGACTTGGATACGTGCTTCTGCTGCTTCTGCTGCTGGTGCTGCTGCTGCTGAGCAAAACGAGGTGTTTAGCCGTTCGAAAGACACCTACACAGACATACACACTCTACTTACATGCAGTCCACACACAGACACACAGACACACACACACACACACCAACATGACGTCATTCTGGCATTGGCATTGAACTGAAGGTGAAGATCGTTAAACAAGTTCGAAATGCTCCCACGTAGAGAACGTATATAAAAATATATAAAAGTGCATAGGATTTTGTCTCCCTAGTGTTTCTTCGATCATATTTCGCATAGTTCTCATCCTTCCACAGATCCTTAGTATTTCCATATTAGAAATGGACGCGCTATATACATTGAGTGCGAGGGATAGAGACTCGAAAGTGCCAGCAAATCCCCCAGCACAACCACAGAGACCTGGGCATATTGCACAGCTGGCAAACTGAAGAACCACACCAGAGAATCGCGCAGCCCGCGAAGTCTGTTCGACCTCGGAGCAGCTTCGGTGACCTCAACAACCTCCATGTCCTCTTTAAAAATATATAATATTGTTTGTGTTTCGGAGAGGATTTTCTATTTTTGTTTTTTTACTTGAACTTTCTCGAACAACACACAAATGAAGAATGGAGAAATTCAAGAATTTTACGTTTAAAGACTCGAAAGAGTTCTAGATCGAAGCATAACTCATAGAGTTTTTGATTCTAGCAAATAAGTATATCTTATGAATTTGGGCAAAAATACATAAATAACAAATTCCTAATCGCATTAAACACCAAAATTTATGTGCATTTTTAGGCTAAATTGTACGAATTTTTAATTTTGTTCAATCAAATTAGCAATGCTAATTTCGGCTCTTAGAACTGAAATCGATACAAGATAACGAGCAGCTAGGCTAATTTTTTTTTACGATATCGATGCATTAAGGTGAAAATGTATCAAAATAACGCCCATTCCCTACAAATGTCCAAAACTTTCACTAAGAAAACTTTAAGCCAATAGATTGCATTGTAAGTAAGACCTTCCGAATTCTATTTCCGTTTCGAGGCACAAACGAAAAAAAAAAAAAAAGAGGGGCATCCATAACGTGTTGTCGAGCTCTCAGCTCTCCACCATGTTCATAATTATCGTCATAATGACAGTGGAGCTTTTATTAACATTATAATTGGTTATTAATTTGCATCCAAATTCAAAGCACTCGCCGATCGCTAAACACGAAAACTTGTAGCTCCGACAAGGCTGTGATCGGAGCGGGAACCTATAGAGGTCGCATATTTACCAGATTTCTGTTGCAAAAGCTTTAAAGCAGAAAGAAAGTCTTCAATATATTCGCGCACTCTTTGAACCCCGAATACTTCAATTAACAGCAAATCAATTTATTGACTCCATTTAGAGCAAATGCGCAAAAGAATCAAGAACCACCAAATGTCAGCTGACTCACAAGACGTGAGTCTATTTTCAACAGCCTTTCCAAACTCAGAGAGAAGTCCCAGTATGATTGTAATATAATTCAAGTCGGTTTTAAGTATTCTGGTACATTTTGAGTTTGCGTTAAGGAAACTTTAAATTAAGAAACCAGTTCTTGAAATATGAATTTCCTACTCAGCTTAAACATTTGTTCGTTAACTTGAGTGCAAAATGCTTTGTTTTTTCTCTGAGTGTAAGTACGCCCACACGCACACTTATGCGTGTCTGTGTAACTGGAACAGCTTTAATAATATTCTAGGTCCATAAAAGCAACATTCACCCCGAGATCAAAGATTAGAATTTGGCTGACACATTTGCCTCCGCAGTTTTGAATTATTCAAAGCTGAAGAAACCAAAATTCCTCGTGTTTATTAAGTTTTTTAATATTTAGTACAGCTACGATTTAGTTTGTGTTTTAATCAATTTATATGGGTTACAGAAGGAAAAGCGTTACAGAGTCAGAATTTTCAGGTTTTGCTGCATTAGAAGTCTTGTTTAGCGTAGCTCTACTTTAGTTCATTCGGATGCCTCTAAGCCCACGTTAAATATTTGTGACAATTGTATTTACAATTCTGTTCAGCTCACATCTGCTGGGCGACTCACCTCATAAACTGGCAGTTCAAAGCAATTTGCGCAGTTCTAATTACAATACTTGTGCCTGTTCTTGTTGTTGTTCTTGTTGTTGTTGTTGCCGAAGCAGTTAATGTTGTTGTTGTTGTTGTTGTTGTTATTGTTGGAGTTGTTGTTGTTGAATAAACAACTTGTTATGCACTTAAAAATGTTACACTTGCTAAGCCGAGTGTAGTTCGATCTTTTTGAAATCGTTCGACGTTTCGCGAATGCACAACAAATTTTAATAAGTCACACACACATACACCTGCACACACTCACACACATGCAGTCGTTGTTAAATGTTTTTTGTTTTTGAAAACAAAAAAGAAGCAGCTCGGAAATCACCAAAATCGTTTGCACAATTTAAGCGAAAATTTATCACGATTTGTGCCGTATTTTTATTTAGCTTTTTGCACTGCGCACAAAGTCGTTTGTTTTTTTTCTATTTTTTCTATTTTTTTTTTCTGTGTGGGTTGAGTGCAGTTGAATGGACGTGCCGATGGTCGTTGGCGATTGATCGCAAATACTCGTTAGTACAGGAAAACACAGACAAACACAGAGACGCAATGCGCTTCTATTGGTTTCCTAATTGCAAATCTAGAGTTAGGTTAGAGGGGTGGGGGGTGGCGGTTTAGCAGCAGGGCTCGGCGCTGACCAGTTCGAATTGTATATATACGTATGTGTATATATATATGTTTTAATCGTCGTAAATTGTGAATATTAAATCAAACATCTCACGCGAACACACACACACACACTCGAGTACGCACGGCGCGTCTTTGGTTCAGCCAGGTGAACACCGTCACGTCTGAAAGTCGACTGAAGCTAAACGTCCGCACGATCTGCGGCTCGAGCTCTGTTCGTGAGCGATAAAGCTCGTCGCCGCTGCAGAAGAGCGTAAGCCAATCAGAGCTAGCTGGCAGAGCGGAGCAACAGGTAGCCGGCATTTCTTTCGCCCTCTTAACGGGCTCTCTCGCATTCTCTCGCTCTCTTTGGCTTGAATTAAAAATTATTCATAGTCATATTGCTGCTCTGCTCTGGTAAAGCCGTCTGTGCGGCTGATGATGGCGATGTAAACAAGTGAAACCAGCTCGCCCAAACATTCTTCAGATAGTTGTCCAGTTGCATCTTCGTTAAGATTGCATTTCGAGGATGGGGCTGGAAAAATATGGAAATTCTGCCAGCCAGAGCTGACAGACGCGCTCAACACGACCAGCTGCTGTTGTTGGCTGCGTAAGAAAAACAAACAGTAACCCAACCTCCCAGACAGCCCAGCACCACACCCTAGTTCATCAATCACGATATTGGCTAGCTATAATCACTGCACTCTGAGAAATATGTGGGCTTAAATTCTAGTATAAAAGGAAGAAACCTTAAAACATCAAGAGAGCATGGGCCAATTTTTAATATTTAAGAATTAGGTATAAACAGCCTTAGATTTTGGATAGTATGAGAGGTAGAAATCGAAAAACATCAGGAGAGCATGGGTCCATTCTTGAATATTTTAAAATTAGGTATAAACAGCCTTGTATTAAGCACGTTTGGACTTTTCGGTAATTATAGAAATTTCAATTTTGGAAATTTGTTCTCATGTTAAGAAATTTCGATTTCTTCGATTTTTCTCTGAGTGTGCCTGCGTTCAATCAGAAGTCATTAATGTGCTGGGCGCTTCACTCATTAATTCGTCTTGTAGATACGTTAGTTATGAAAGAGCGCTAATCCTCAAGGGAACTGAAACTATTCTGGCAAGTGTCATAAACAAAGCAAATCATGTAGGCAGTTTCAGCAGGTAGCTGAAGTCCAACTGGGCCCAAAACGAAACAGTCGAAATGAAATAATTCACGCAAATATTTCCACACACACTTGAATATTTGAATATCACAGTAATTAATCAAAAACTGAGAAATACGCAGAATATACAAATAAATCAACGATCGTCATCGTCGTCGTCGACGTCAACCGGTCAAGAAACTATAAAGCACCAAGCTGTTGTCGTCCCACGTCCACTCCAACTGGGCACCCCGCTCTCCCTCCCGCCACTCCGCAAGGAGCCCATTTAACTTTTAATAAAGTTGTCAACGCACGAGAAACTGTCGTGTGAAGCATTCGTATCTTTTTCAAGGCGCCAACGTTTTTCGACGGCCGAAATGACAGAACCAAGTGGACGGCTCACGTTTGCATTCCTGCTGGTGTTCGAACTAACGGTAACTTCGATAAGGTGAAAGCCCTTTCCCCACCATGCATCAACAAGTTTTCACGGCTATTGACAGCTTGCGAGTGGGATTTGTAAACTTTAATGAATCCCTTGAGCTTTTAACATTATTTCAAGCATAATGAAAGCTCTCGTTGGGGAAGCCTGCCAAGTGAAAAGCTCAGCTTTTGTGGGCAAATATTTTCTGTACAAACTTTTCTCATTTAGTACTTTTGCTGGGACTAACAGCAAAGTTTGCGCCGTGTCTTCTTCAAGGACGTGTAAAAGTGAAAGCATCTTAATTAATTTAATTGCAAGATTTTGTCAAAAATGTGAATTAAATTATGCAAAAAGAAACAGTGATCGTAATGTAAAATTATTAACAACATAACATTATGTTAATTTAGTTAATGTTAATGTCAAATTTTGCATTCCCACTTGCTGCCTTATGTAAATGTCAGAGTGTCATCTGCTTCCCAAACCAAGCCATAGATAAATCAAATAACAGCGCACGTGCATAACCTCTGTAAATGTACATCTATATGCATATAAATATACGTACCTTAAATAGCAATAAAGCTTAGAGCACTGAAAACGGGTGCTTTCTGCCCGTTACGTGTCAACAGCTGATTTTGGCTAAAAAGGTACCACACACATACATACGTACAACATCTGTATGGATTAAAACACACACACACGCACACACACAATTGTCTTCGTCGGCTTTGAGCGCGATTCTTGGCGATTTCAAATGGCTTTAATACGCTGCTGCTTTGAACCACCCGAACTGCCGGAGTTCTTCGATAGCTTTGTACAGAAATGCACCGATCCTGGTTGTAAGTATATTAATAATATTGTACAAATAAATTAAACAAAAAACAAATCGAGCTATATGGGCCAGGCGCTTAAACCAAAGTAGCAGTGAATAGCGAGGAGCAATGCTGTTAAGCAGCGCAGCCAACTTCATGTTTGAAAAGCGCTGCCAGACCGACGAATATGACTGTGTGGCAGCTCCATGGAAATAAGGAAAGAGAAAAACAATAATCGAGCACACAATTTTACAACAGCAGCATAGTTTTATCGCAGCGTTTATTACCTAACGCCGCGATAAAAACAAAAGTAACGACTGTTGACCAAACATGTCTGGTGAGTAATTGGACCCAACAAATTTTGAATGGCATAGCAGAGCGGCGCGATGTGACGTGATATGACCCCGAAATGAATGACACCAGCAATCGATGACGAACACAAGGATTTTGCGAAGATGTCAGACAAAAGAGAATGAATGAAAATAGCATTCGCTCATATCACGCGATGCAGGTCAATTCGCTATATAGCACGGCAACGATTATGGCGATAAGATAAACGACAAAATGGCCGACGCACCCAGTCCAACGGTGCGACCCCTACGGTGCCTAGAGCCACAGT